TTCTAGAAAACGAAGGACAATGGCTACATCCCATGTTGAGGAGTATTTTGCTCGAGGTCTGAGTTTGTAGACACCCTTCATAAACCTGCAAGTGTTTGGATCTTCGCCAATCTTTTTCTCAGAGAGTAAAGATATTGCACTTCAACATGAATTGAGCGTACCATATGATGCTCCCGAATTAAACTTCTCAGACAAAAATCTTAGAACTACCGTAACATTTATATCCAAACGATTTCTGTTATTCTTCGTATAAAATTCCGACCATTGTTTTAGAGCAGTGCCATATTGTTGAAGCGTGGATTTAATTAATGAAGCTAGAAAAAGGTCTAGAGCTTCTCTTCGAACTTTCCTTAATAAGAAAGCTTCCGGGATATTTTGCTGGCAATCAAACTTAGGTGTTCCGCTCTTGGATCTGACAGTCTCCTGCATGGGGATAGGAGCAATTCCGAATGAGCTTCGAAAATCAGCGGTTTACCTACCGTTAATTTTTCAAATAATGGGAACCAAGGTTGATTCTTTCAAAGTGGAACAACTATAATGCCGTACGCCTCTTCGCGCCTTATCTTCGCTAAAGTTTTTAGAATTAAAGAGAAGGGTGGAAAGGCGTAAAAATAGACATTAGACCACTGAATGGTGAACGCGTCAATACAGATAGCTTTACAGTCTGGTTTCCATGAAATGAATCTGTCACATTTGGCATTTTGTTGAGATGCAAATAAATTAATCTCTGGCTCACCAAAAACTTTAACGATTTGGTTGTAATATAAGTCGTTCAGTTCCCATTCAGTGTCTACATTCTTAATTCTGGACAATCTGTCAGCAGTAATATTCTCTTTTGATGGAATGTAAGAAGTGATTAAAATTATCTTTTTACCCTCTGCCCACTGTCAAATTTCACAGGCTAATTTATTATATTTTTGAAATTTAGTGCCGCCCATCTTATTTATGTAAGATATGGCGGTAGTATCGTCTACCCGTAATAAAATCTTGCAATCGTTTAATTCTGAGACAAGTTCTTTTAAAGCAGATTTTATTGTTAATAGTTCTAAGAAGTTTATATGCATCTTCTGTTCTTTTTCCGACCAAAAACCGTAAATCTTCCTTTCATCATTGCATGCTCCCCAGCCCGATTTAGAGGCATCTGTAAAAATGCGCATAGCAAAGGATCCATCCTTAATACAGTGAATGCTATTTTTAATATTAGCTTTCCACCATCGTAAATCTTGTTTAACAGAATCTCTTATGGACATCACTTTGTTATAGCAATTAACATTCAATATAAGCTGGAAAATCTTCTCTTTTTCTAAGATTTTGGTGTATAACCAACCATATTCCACAGCTGAGCAACATGCAATCAACTTCCCAATCAGCTGAGCAAACTCTATAATACTACATTTATCTAGCTTTAAATAGGTTTCTAATAGCTGATAGATATTTTTTCTTTTCTCATCAGTTAGCTCAATAGCATATTTTTGCATATCAATTATAAACCCTAAGAACTTGCATCTCTTGGAGGGTATGACGTTCCATTTTTTATAGTTAACTAAAAAACTTAACCACTCTAGAAAATTTAATGTTTGGTTAATATTTCTCTTACATTCCTCAAAAGTTTCTTCTATGCACAAAATGTCGTCCAAATAGATTACTGATGAAAGGCCTCTACTTCTTAGATTTCTTACAACTATTTTCATAATCTTTGTAAACACCAAAGGGGCTGTACATAAACCGAAAGGTAAAACAACAAATTCATATAATTCATTTTCAAATTTGAACCGCAGGTATTTTCTGCTTTCTTCATGTATTGGAATTAAATAATACGCATCTTTTAAGTCAATCGACGCCAAAAAATATTCTGGAAATATTAACTGGACTGCGGTTCTCAAGTCTTCAAGTTTAAAATGTTGCTTTGGAAGAGCTTTATTCAGCTGTTTTAAATTTAAGATGAAACTATTTGATCCATCGCGCTTTTTAACCAAAAAATAAAGAGATAAAAATTGACCTTCTGTTTCAGTACACACTTTAATAGCTTTTTTACCTAACAAATCCTTAATGCAATACCTAGTAGCCTCTATATCTGATCCCGAATATTCATAATTCCTGAAATTTTCTTTAATTAAATGCTTCTTAATTGGAATTTTATAACCAGAAATGCAAGATAAAATAAACCTATCATCAGTGATCCTTTCCCAATTGTCATAAAAAAGGATAATCTACCCCCTCTTACATCGTTCAATTCCTCTTCTCGACTTTGTTCGGATACTTTGGTGGATGGTGAACTTGAGCTTTGTGGTTCACAAATTGTTGCTTGTTTCTTAAAGACACCTTTTGCCTCAGACGTCCGATGAAAGATGTAGATCCCGTCTGTCCTCCTATCGGACGGGTCGCAAACGGGATCTTGAAGTTTGACTGTTGATTTGGAGTAATAATTTTTTTTCCCACTTGAGGAAGTTTGAGACTATCACTCATCTTGTTCAAAGCCTTGGCGTCTTTAATTTTTTCGGATAAGTCCTTTCCATATAAAAATTCTTCTGGCTTTATCTGGCTTTATCTTTATCTCTTTTAAAATGGCCTTCGTCTCCTTTGACAATCCAGGTTCAATAAATGCCTTTCTAGTGACTGTCTGCTTGGGTATAATAGCAGTAAGAAATTTTCCTGAATCACGTACACGTGTCAGAAGCGTCTCCAAATCAAAATCGTCACCTTCTTCATAGATTCCCGTAACTACAGAGCCAAGAATCGACAGAGCTGTTCCCGCCAGTTTTTGAATTTTAATCATATGATTGGCTCTGGCGATAGCAATGTCCTTCACAGTGGCTGCAATCTGCGGATTTAATTTGGGGGCTTCTAGTTCCGCTACGCATGCGTAGGTTCCCAAAAGTGATTCAATTTCCTCCTTCATTCTTTCTCTACAGAAGAATTCCCATCTCCTCAAAAGGCCCGCATTAATTGGCAGCTTCACCGCCTGACTGGAGGTTGGATCTTCACCTAACTGAAGAAATGGAAAAAAGAGAAAAATGTCACTTCAAAAGCAGTCGCTTTATTATACAATATATATAAATATATATTACGTATAATTTGAATGTCGTGTAGTCACGTGATCAAACACAAACATCATATTACTTATCCTTGTCTTACCATCTAGCAAGCACGAATAGTTGCTTACGTCTCTTGTCTTACCACAACAGTGAAGCATAGACGTGTTACGACAGGTCTTTGTCTCGTTGCACAACGAAGCCTAAAACCGTCTCACATAATATTTCTCTCTACCTCAGGTTATTTTTAATCATTTTTAAAAACTTACAAATTTGATGCAATCCTCATCTAGTTCAATTTCTGTTCCGTCAGTGGGCTTTTCGGCATTTTTCTCATCCTCTATCACGCATGAATCACTTTCTGATGCAATCTCTTTCTATGCTGAATTCTCTGGAATGTTCGACTCAACCTCGTTCTCCTTGTCATCAGATCTCCCTTGAATTCCGTCAGATTTTTCCAGTTTCTCTTCTAATTTTTGCACTTTACTTAACAGTTTTTCTAACATTTCATCTCTTTCACGAGATCTCTTCTTGGATTTCTTTCCCATCTCAATCCAGAAAGATTTTACGAAAACTCTTAAAACACGTGTGTTACTAAGCTCGCGGGAAGAAAAAGTGAAGCCGCAGCGCGACAAGTGGGAGAAGTGGGGACCCCCCAAAAAAATTTGTTTTGTACATAGCTCTAAATTCGCATGTGCCACCTAGCGGACAGAAGGGATACTACAGTTGTAATGTAGGAGAGCGAGGACGAAATATAATCCCAGTGAAATCAATGTAATCATTGTAATTACATGGTTAGCATATTTGTAATCAAGTTTTGGTAATCAAGTGGTAATCAGTTGTAATCACTGTAACCATTTGTAATCAGTGTAATCTTTCGTAGTTACTCCTAGTGAGATCGTGAATTTTGTTTTTGAATTTTCGAACGCGTCATTTTTACCAACGGTAAGTCTCAGAGATCCCTGCATCAATTTTTTTTGGAATCCTAGATGTTTATGGTTCAGAACCTTGTATAGCCAATGCGTTTTGCACAGAGCATTTATCCGTAGAAAATTGATTCAACAGAGTTCAAATTTCATTTTATTCTGAAGAACCAACGACTGAATTATCTTTGAATTATCTGCTGGTATGTTTCATTCTCCATCAATGGTAAATATTCAGTAAATTTATTTTACTAATAGCACTTATAAGTGCCCAAATTTTTAGATAGAGTGATGGAGACTGCATTCCTTTGTTCTAATCCCCACCCCTCCTTCCTCATTTCTTTGCAGGTCCTAATAATTAATTATTCCATCAATTCATCAATCAATCAATCCATCAATCAATCAATTATTCCATCAATTCATCAATTCCATCAATTCATATTTAATAAGAGGCCATTTTTTGTGATTTCAATCATTACAGATATTTGGAAATCACAGAATGTGATCAACGAAATCATTTGTAATCATTTAATCACATTCTATGCTCTTGGTAATCACGGTTATCACGTAAGTAATGGTACTCAGTCCCGTAATCCTGGGTAGTCGATTATATTTTGTAATCGCGGTATCACTCTATTCGCCTGTGAATAGCCCCTCGATTGAGTACCTTTCCGTAAATATGAGACAAAGTAAAAAAAGAAGATTAGGTTTGCTCTGTATATGAAGAGAAACCCCCATTTTTGCATTCTCATATCTTCGAAGTATCCGTTCCAAAGTCTATGCAATGAATCATGAGCACATTGACTTTCCGCTTCATCCCTTTCTCTCAAAACATAGACTTTCCAGGCATAATGTAGGGACTACTAAGGAATAAATCCACAATTTCCTTCTATCATATTTAATTCTATTTCATAAGATGAAAAACGAATACTTGAGCTTAGTCTTCAGAATCTGATGTACATTTCGAAATTAGAAAAGTCCTAATTGAATAAAAACTCCAAGACAATTTTGAATGAAAATCAAATTAAATCGATATGAAACTTACATCAACTTTGCAAAAAATTGCATTTGCGCCAAGTTCCTCAGCTAACTTTCTGCCTTCAACAGCGCGGTCCAAGATAGCAGCTTTCCCACCTTGATTTATAATTCTTTCCACTATAGCTCTTCCTATTCCAGAAGTTCCACCCGTCACGAAAGCGATTACATGCTTCGAGAATTTATGCAATGATTTAATTATAAAGAAAAACCAATCGGAAGCAATTTAATTACAAATTCACCTGCATTTTAGTTTTCATACTCTGCACAAACTATCAGCGCAGCCGACATCAAGTAATTGAAGTTGATTCGTACACTGCTGTGGTACATACAGCGACATATTGAGAAATAAGCGCATGATAAGAATGATTATTCAAATATGTGCTTTTGACACTATCCATGCTTCACTTACCAGATAAGATATACTAATTTATGGCCTTGTATTTATATTTGATCATTTTTTAACGGGTATGCCCCCCCTTTTTTCAATATTTTCAAGCCGGAGGAGATCAGAATGCAATAGAAGGAGGGCTATCCAAAAAGACCGGGGTGCATTATCAGTTAGATCTATTATTTCTTCACGCAGAGAAATTTTTGATAAAAATTATGCTACCGTTCTATAAAAGTATATCATGAGTCATCGTTTCCTCATTTCTGTCCCGAAATTTAGAAAAATTAATATATGATGATCAAATTTTATTCTACGTTAGAGAAATTTTATCCTGAAGTGTAATAAATTTTACCCTTCCAGTCCAATAATTGTTATGTAGATAACAACGAAAATTCTACAACGGTTGGTAAATTTTACCCTACCGGTACAGTAATTTTTACTCTACCGGCTCGGTAATTTTTTTTTGTCGGGATAAAATTTCTCTAACGTAGAATAAAATTTGATCATCATATATTAATTTTTACTAAATTTCGGGATAGAAATGAGGAAACGAAGACTCATGATACACTTTTATAGAAAGGTAGGATAATTTTTATCAAATATTTCTCTCCGTGTTGCAATGTAACCGTTTCTTTCTTCAATTTGCTTGTAAAAGAATAGTTAGGGACACCCTAACGAAATGAGACAGCGGGGCAAAATGCATCTCCTTTAAAATTTGAGTTTTTACACAAATGACCACTTCCTCTATATTTGGCAATGAAATATCTAGTTTAGAGTACGATCACATGAATCCATCGTATCATGTAAGACATTAAGTTGAACGAAATCTAAAAAGTTCAGCAGATTTAATACGCTATTGTGAAAAGATGAATTAAGATGAATTCTATGATATCCGGTATGTAAACTGAGTAAAATTGCCAATGTTAACACGATGGAATGTTGCGCGCCAACAACACCATGAAGTCCACACGAAAGTCAATTCCCGCTGGGGATCCAGGTGAGTTAGTACGAGCCTTGGTTTGCCGAGGCTCAGTGACAGAAGCCTGGAGCAGGCTTGATATTAGCGTTCACTTCAGCCTGAAATGAGGGTGATAGATGGGGCTTTAGGGAAGCCTTAATTCAGGCTTCGTTCAGGCTTAGAGTATTGAGGCTGAATACGGAAAGGCTCACTCAAGACTCAACCAAGGTTATCTTTCAATCAATTGTTACCTTCCTCGTCAATAATTTCATATTTATCAACGAAGAAAAGTCTCTCTATCGAAGCAATAGGCATTACCGTGACCTCCCGTCAAACCAACCGAGCTATGTCTGGACAAGGCTTGCGGCAGCCCTTGGCAAGAAAGGCCTCCAAATTTCATTTAAAAAAATGAATTAATTAGTTTTTGGTTCATTGATATATTGGAATACAAAGAAAATAGCTGTTAATGATTGAAACGGAAAAACAAATATAATGCACGCCCAGTACTTCTTATACCAAAATGAAATCCTACATTTCAACAATTGTCCGAATGACCAAGTGGATAAGGCATCGCACTAGAGATCAGGAACACTTAGGATCGAATCGCGGCGGGTAGATGTTTTGTTTTTCATTCCTTTTGATAATGAACGTTATGCGGTAAACAGTAATCGTTAAGTAACACTAATAAACATAAATAATGAGATAATATTTTCACAAACAATGATAATTGATATTTCGAGGATTGAATGAACCCTTCTTCCCAGGCCTCGTTCAAGCCTCGTCACCCAGCCTGAGAACGTGGTTATCATTTCAGGGCTCAATGAGGTCTGATCCAAGCTTGGATGCCAGCTCCTATCCAGCATTTATAAGCCTTTGGCGACTTTGGATTTTTCCGTGTATAGGGTAGTGATCAAGTAGAGAGAGAACGGAAGGGGGACTTAGGGATTCAAATGGAAAGTTTTTAAGAGTTAAAGAATCTCTGAGGTTCAGAGGAAGAGGGCTAGAATGTAAGTGCGAAAGTGCAATGTTGCAAAGATTGTAGATCACTATGGTCATGTTTTGCGAGGATCAAACTTCATATGAACGATAACTTTTAAGGGTCAAATAGCATATATACGCAGTAAAAAATTGTGAGTGAATTTTGTTGTGAGTGAATGTGAGTGAACTCTGATATACTCCGTTATTGATATACATGGAGTATATCAATAATGGAGTTAGGTAATGAATGAAATGAAAATGGACACCACCATGGTGTCAACATAAATATGGTGATCAATACAGTTGGGTGTGAAAAATAAAAATCCACTTCGTGCCTAAAGCTTGAGTCAGGGCTGAGGGAGGAATTGAACTCCCATAAAGAGTTCATTTCAACACCGAAATCTTTAACACCTACACTGAAAAAAAAATTACTTCTGTCAAGTAAATTTACTTATCACAAGTAAATGTATATAAATATTTGCATTTGAAATGTGTGGATTTTCTTGTAGTTAGCAAACTTACTTGGCAAAAGTAATTTTTTTTTCTCAGTGTAACACTGAAGACCTTAATGTCGAACGGACAGGCAGGATCATCTTAAGGATTAAACAACCACAAGAGTCGATCGTGCAAGGTAGGAAGGATAATGACAAGAGTCAAACGATCACTAAGATCAAATGGGAGAACCATCTGTTTATTTCACTTGATTTATATATGAACCATAGTCGGTCAAATACACGTTATAAGCTGATGAATGAGAACCAGAACATTCTGTAAGAATTGAAATAAATAAATGACGTTTCAGTACGTGAAGGAAGATTGTGATAAAACCTTGAAATGTTGTGGACTAATTATAATACTATCATCGAGTTACACTCCTGTGATGAATTTCATATTGCTCATCATTGATTTTCATATGGAGATGACTTAAAAGATCATATAACTTTATTTTCTATCATTATTTTTCAAAAATGGGGTCTTGTAGATATGGCTGTCTTACTAGATACAATCGAAATTGAATCTCAATTGTGAAAGGTCAAACGTCCCAAGACTCAGATTTTTGGTATTCTTCTGCATACGACAAGTGAAGAAAAAATAACACCAATAAATTATTAGAACATTTAATGTTAAACTGGCAGTAATGTGTCAATTAATCGCAAACGAAATTTTCCCTTCGGTCCTAACTCGTCATTCCGTACGCATTGGCTGTCCACCATTGGAACCTATTTCTACGTGATTAAATCCAACGTCACGATAATGCTTGTAAATTGGCCAAATTATGTGCCGCTCGACCCTGGCCAACGAAGGGGATGGCGGATTAACATACGCATCATCTCGACACCGAGTCGACCTAAAATTTGCATTGCTACGTGTCGAACGAGCACTTGATCTCTTGGGAGTCTGACCAATGTATGTCTCCAATGCAAAATGCATTCACTGGTGGTCCTCACTGAAGTCCATTTTTTCCACCTCTGCGGTTGAAAAATTGGCCAAAAACTGTCAAGGGAGGGGCTCCTAAATGTCCAACAGTAAGAAAAGCTTTTGGCCACTGCGTAATTGTGTCAGGGGAACTGGACACCATGTAAATGGCACACTCGATTACGGTTGACTGAAAAGTGGTAGTCTTACTGTCCTATGTCGCTCTCTTCGGTGGTTGTCCAGTTAGTTTCTCTCCTTCTTTCGTTCCTCTCTCATCACAGTGCACCTAGGCAGCACCAAACTGGCTCTAACAAGCGTACAACCACAACTGAGTACAGTTTGCAACGTACTGCTGTCTCTAGAGGACCTATTACAATCTTGGATTACTAGTTCCCACCTACGGTATGAAATTGGCGGATTGACATTCATAATTTTAAATTGAAATCATTCAAATATTCCGTCAATCCATTCAGAGCATTCAACTTGATCGAATATTTATAAATTGCCAATTATTAATATAGTTTACTGGTAAGAGCTATTGTTTTTTCAGATAGAAATCGATGACTATTTCTAAAAATGGATAATGAGGTAGTGTCAATTCTCCATTCTCATGGAGCGCTTTCTATTTAAATTTCTCTCCTTTTCTCGAAAAAAAAAAATTCGACTGGGTTGTTGCAGGTAGGTCGTCCTGAATGTAGCCCATTCTGGGTGTAACTAATAATTTCCTGACACACACACACACACACACGCAATCACACAGACACACATACACCTCCGAAAACGTTACAGAATGATTTAAGGGGTCATGAAACGGGGTGATATGATGAAATACCCACATTGGATTTTCGGGGTCATTGCAGTAACTTTTTCCAAGGGGTTGGGAAGGTGAAAACTTTCAACATTTAATAGTTTAATAATAGCTGAAACATGACATATGTCAGTATATGTCAAGTACTATATCATAATTCGCCTGTCTTGTTCATCAACCGTCAAAACCAGTAGATTTGCATGAAATTCTCTTTATTTCAACTTTTGTGTAGTTCCCATTCTTTGGGGATTGAACACAGAGACAACCGTGCAATTCTAGTGTACTTCTGTCAACAGCAAGTACCAAGTTTATTACCACCAATCTCTCCGCAATGTCCCATTGATTTTACAGGTTAAGGGTCAACCCTGTGTGTTCACCTCATTATTTTCTGACAAACGTTGATGGCGATAAAACGAAAGGTTATCCCCTCACTTGAAACTGAATTTCTCGAGAAATTGGGAAGAGAGTTTCTCCACAAATGAAATTGTCACCATCTCGCCTTTGTTCCCTCTTCTGTCTTCTAAATTATGTAAACGTTATTATAATGGGAGCATGATTTTAAGTGTCACAAACTCATCAAGATGAAAATCTCTTGATAGGCATTTGCGTTTAATGATACTCTCAATTATTTCTAAAAGCTGACACGTTAATATCCATCTTCTTTAATATTTTTTTTTCACCCAGTTGAGAAATAACTTTTAACTTCCCGATTTATATCGGGTAGGTATTGTAATTGTCCCCAAAATTGAATGTGAAAATTTCATGATATCTTCACGTTTTATGACAACTAAAAACTTTCTATGAAATTTCTGATAAAATTTCTGATGAAATTTGACAGAATAATAATTCAGTTATGAATTAAGACAACGATAATTCAATTCTAAATTCCTGATCATTATTTTCATTATTGATATTTCATAAAGCCCCGAACAAAACATGAATGAATAACTTTACATTTAATTATTACGGAAGCAGCCAAAGTAATTGTTTTTATCATTTTGTTGCATTTATTTAACATGACAGGAATCACATGATGCTCATTCCGAACATGAATGGAAACGGCTCAAAGCAGAACAGGCTTAACCATTAAAATTTAATGCATTTATCAGTATTTAATAGAAAAATACAGAAAGTAAATTGTTGTGGCATGTAAAGTCACACAGAGGAATGAGAGGAAAGAGAAGATTAAGAAAGAAAATCAGATTTCAACGAGTGTAAGAGTCAATAAGGTAGTGAATCTGCAAGTAGAAATGTAGATGAAGATGTTGTTAATCAGTGGATGTTAGATTTTTTGGATGAATACACCCAAGGCTGAATGGATTTTACTATTATATTGTACGAAAGGAAAATTCCAATGCTCATCATTCAGCATAAATGGAATGTCCGGTGCAATATGAAATTATTATTTTCTGAATATTTATTATTTACATTCTTATAATTTCGGCAATTTATATTGCCAGGTTCAGTTTGTCAACTTATAATTTTCTCATTGTGTATAGAAAAACAATGAATCATTGGCCTCTATGAATAGAATCAACATGTAAATATTTGTATTATTCAAATCAGAGTTTTTAAAAAATTCTAATGTTGTTTCCCTGACCGTTGAGGTATTGTTATTGGTAGTTAACAGATGTAAATGACAGACTAGATCGAGAAATTATCTGTCTGATGAAAAGTCATTGGTTCTAGACTAAAGTAATGGTAACTACGAATTTTCCTCATCATAACTGAGTTTCATTTTCATTTGGTAAACAAAAAATTTACGAATATAAAAAGGTGCGAGGGAAAATCTGCCACAGACCGCAAGGAAATATGTAACTAGCACAGGTGTGCTCATCGTAGATAGTACACGATGATGCTGCTCCGCATTTCATTCTTATTGAGCTTGTTTTGCCTATTGTTAACCGTCAATGGCTACCCACAACGTGGCATAGATTTGGATCGTCCCGACAGAGTTATCAAACGAGGTAATAGTATATTTCCTTATTGGGTCAAAGAAACCTTGTCTGACGAATATGAGTATGCAGCCCGCGTGAAAGGTGAGGGCTGTAATCATATAAGCTAGAAAGATCTTTTTCGGACGCGTGACGAACAATATTTTTTGTCATAACGAACGTAGGTAGGATGTTACGCGTCCATGAAGCCAATGCCTCACGGCCGAAATGCCAGAAAGTATTATTCTTTTGATGATTCACTGGAAATTAATAAGCACAGAGACTAATCGATTACTCTCTTTGGTTGACTTGGCCTAGATGGAACCATAATTAAGATTTACCGCAAACCTAAGGATTCTCCTACTCCAGCGCCCGACCCTCAATCCGTCTCAAATTCCGAATCTGAAGATTCCGGCCCCGAAGTGAATCCCGGAACTGGTGCCAATTCCGGTGTAGATTCTGGCCCCGAAGAAAATCCTCCACATGGGCCGAATTCCGGCGAAGATTCCAATGAAGATTCTGACTCGGAAGGAAATCCTGGAGCTGGTCCGAATTCGGCTCAAAATTCCGGTGAAAATTCTGGGCCCGAACTGAATCCTGGACTTGGCTCCAATTCCGGCGAAGATTCTGACGAAGATTCTGGCCCCGAAGTGAATCCCGGACCCGGCCTCAATTTTGGTGAGGGACCCGATGAAGATTCTGGTCCAGAGGAAAATTCCGGGCCTGGCCCCACTTCTGGTGAGGCGTCCGGTGACGATTCTGTCCCAGAGGAAAATCCCGGACTTCCGCATTCTGGTGAAGACTCCGGGGAAGGTTCTGGCCCCCATATGAACCCTGGATCTGGTCCGAATTCCGGTGAAGATTCTGGCCCTGAAGTGAATCCTGGACCTAGCTCCAATTCTGGTGAGGGATTCGGTGAAGCTTCTAGCCCAGAGGAAAAACCTGGACCTGGCCCCAATTCTGGTGAGGGTTCCGGTGAAGATTCTGGCCCAGAGAAAAATCCCGGACTTCCGGAGTCTAGTGAAGGTTCCGGGGAAAGTTCTGGCCCCGAAGTAAACCCTGGATCTGGTCCGAATTCTGGTGGGAGTTTCGGTGAATATTCTGACCCTGAAGTGAATCCTGGACCTAGCCCCAATTCGGGTGAGGGGTCTGGTGAAGTTTCTGGCCCAGAGGAAAATCCCGGACTTCCGGATTCTGGTGAAGGTTCCGGGGAAAGTTCTGGCCCCGAAGTGAACCCTGGATCTGATCCGAATTCTGGTGGGAATTCCGGTGAAGATTCTGGTCCCGAAGTGAAACCTGGACCTGGACTCAATTCTGGTGAGAGATCCGGTGAAGATTCTGGCCCAGAGAAAAATCCCGGACTTCCGGATTCTGGTGAAAGTTCCGGGGAAGGTTCTGGCCCCGAAGTGAATCTTGGATCTGGCCCGAATTCTGGCGGGAATTTCGGTGAAGATTCTGGTTCCGAAGTGAATCCTGAACCTGGCCCCAATTCTGGTGAGGGGTCTGGTGAAGTTTCTGGCCCAGAGGAAAATTCCGGACTTCCGGATTCTGGTGAAGGTTCCGGGGAAAGTTCTGGCCCCGAAGTGAACCCTGGATCTGATCCGAATTCTGGTGGGAATTCCGGTGAAGATTCTGGTCCCGAAGTGAAACCTGGACCTGGACTCAATTCTGGTGAGAGATCCGGTGAAGATTCTGGCCCAGAGAAAAATCCCGGACTTCCGGATTCTGGTGAAAGTTCCGGGGAAGGTTCTGGCCCCGAAGTGAATCTTGGATCTGGCCCGAATTCTGGCGGGAATTTCGGTGAAGATTCTGGTTCCGAAGTGAATCCTGAACCTGGCCCCAATTCTGGTGAGGGGTCTGGTGAAGTTTCTGGCCCAGAGGAAAATTCCGGACTTCCGGATTCTGGTGAAGGTTCCGGGGAAGGTTCTGGCCCCGAAGTGAACCCTGGATCTGATCCGAATTCTGGTGGGAATTCCGGTGAAGATTCTGGCCCCGAAGTGAAACCTGGACCTGGCCTCAATTCTGATGAGGGATCCGGTGAAGATTCTGGCCCAGAGGAAAATCCCGGACCTGGCCCCAATTCTGGTGAGAGTTCCGGTGAAGATTCTGGCCCAGAGGAAAATCCCGGACGTCCGGATTCTGGTGAAGGTTCCGGGGAAGGTTCTGGCCCCGAAGTGAATCCCGGAGCTGGTTCGGATTCTGGTGGGAATTCCGGTGAAGATTCTGGCTCCGAAGTGAATTCCGGATCTGGCCCCAATTCTAGTGAGGGTTCCGGTGACGATTCTGGCGCAGAGGAAAATCCCGGACCTCCGATTTCTGGCGAAGGTTCCGGTGAAGATTCTGGCCCCGAAGTGAATCCTGGACCTGGTCCAAATTCTAGTGAGGATTATGAAGAAGATTCGGGCTCTGAAGTGACTCCTTCCCCCTGTTGGAATCTTCGTGGGGGTTCACTTCCTCCAATTCTTCGTAGACTTGGTCCTGGTACTCGCTGGGGTTTCATTCCGGGATGGATTGTATGGGTACCGTAAGTATTTTGTCTAATCCTAGATCCCCATGTTTATTGAATTTAGCCAGTACAATTCAAGAGGAATAGCTGTCATTAAATGAATTATTAGAAATTCGATATTTCGATATTTAGAATTGGATCTAGCCAATCGCCGAATCGTCAGGTCGATCTTGAATGATTGGAATGAATCGAAATTATGCTAACATATTTGTTAACGTATGATAACAGTGAATCTTCCCGTTATAAGTGGAAACTCTTTTATTCGCACAACAGACGGAATTCTTTGTGAAAAAATTCACCAACAACGAATTAATATTCAATTCTTAGTATTCATCATCTGATATAATATTTCTGTTGCAGCAACGTGTGAATGGAGGCTGCCTTCCAGTGACATAAATCAGATATTTGAACGATGGAAACCATTATACACCTGTGGTAGATGGAACTCGATACTACCCATAATTTACGAGTCCTCATCGAATTTTCATAATGGGATGGAATTGACGATGTAATATACTGAATTAGTTAGGGAACAATCTAGTTATGAAGTGAAGTGAATATTAACCGAGCATACACAATAAATATTTAACGAACATCAAATGTTCCGTTTTGCCTTAATTGTTGTTCTTCAGTACGTATTCCCAAAAGACAGGTAAAAATCTTTGCCGAAACATTGAAAAATATGAAAAGGTTCCGCCCTCGGCTCTTTCAATTCCAATTTTTTCTTGTCTATTCATAGTTTTTGTTTTCGTGTGTCCGTAAGTGGACAGCTTACCGACTCGGCCTTGCACCTGATAAACGTTTTAGTCCTTCAATATACTTTAATCACCGTAAATGACTGTATTTACAAGTTCGATGGAAAATTATCGCAAATGGTTGGACTTGATTTCATCAGAGATAAAAACGAACAATTAATGATTTCGATTCCGATTTTGCGCCAATTCTCTCTACTTGAGATTTTCTATGAATTGGAAGTATTTAATAGAATGACCGCCTTCACCGACATAGCTATCCTGTGATTTCCTGCTACTTCAATTGGAATACTAGATGCAATCGAAGTGCGAATGCAGCACAGTGTAGGACACAAAGCCGCATGTATAGGGAATGGCAAAGTGCCGAAAAGTCTGTAGGTCGGAAAATCAGATCAAAAAAATTTTGTAGGTGGCTGTATCTTTCATACCACCGTCAAAGCTCCGAATTTTCTTCAATATAAAAGGCCTTCTTTTGTATCTTTCCAAAACTCACTAAATTCTCAGAATCCTCCGAACGATTTAAGAATTTTCCAGAGAGTGCTAGAATTTTCCAGAAGTTTCTACGTTGATTGCTGTAGTATGCAAGACCTTGTCTTTATTTAAATTTTTATGAGGAAGCAAGATTACTTTGGAAAATCTCCAAAGGTTTTTTGAGTTGTGTGGACACCGAGAGAATTTTCTGAATTTTTTTTAGAAAACCTATATCCTATAATCCTCACCACAAAAGAATGATCGTGGCTGAGTACCCCCACTCTCTCGAATTTGGCCCCGACTCGACCTCGCCACCACTTAGATCCAAAATCATACTTTCTTGGCGGCGACGATAGAATTGTCGAGAAAACGGGTGAATTTTCTCGAATTGTCTAGAAAACTGGAGAATTTTCCCGAGTTGTTTTAGAAAGTCAGAACAGTTTCTCGAATTTCGTTGAACAAAAGATATTTTATAGTAATTTTCAAGGAAACCCAATGATTTTTTCGAAAAATCTAGAATTTTTTAGAAATCCGACAGATGGCGCTGACAACAATGGTTTTTCCTAAAATGCCCGTCCACTATGGAACCATAGACGTATTCACGTCAACAGAGGAGTGAGGTGCAAAAAAGAAAAAAAAATAAGACGGAAGAATGACGGATAAAGTACAAATGTTTCAGAGAATTTCTAGTTTTGCAATCGATAATTCTACTTCAATATATTCCATAATTAATTTTTTTTTCTGAGAGCATCAGTCAATGTATATGCCTAGAAAACACATTTTTCTGAAGATTGTGTCAATGTTTTTTTATGGATAATGTTTATAATAGTCCGCAACTATTGAAAAAAAAATCCAAGTAGCTGTACTACACAGTTTAGAAGATAATTAATAATGAAATGGGGACTTCTAACACGCGAGGATTGGCCAAACGGTTGTAGGTGAATTCATCCCGGACTACTCATCCCAAACCAATTCATCCCGGACAATTGACCCTAAACAAATTCATCCCAACACAAATCAATCCCACGACAATTTCTTCCCAAACATCAAATTCCAATGGAATTTTTCATGGCAACAAGACTAATTCAGGGAGAGAAAAATATTAACTTTATTTTCACAGAAAAAGACACTAAACACGACACCAAAATCAATCAGATACTTCACGATTCCCTCCTAGTATTGTTTACACAACCGATCAATGGATTAACGGGAAACATTGCAAAAAAACGGTCAAATCATTCTTATTCATCTCAATTAACATTCGCCAGAGAGGCCACGTAATAGACCACAGCATCGATTTACAAAATCAGTACAAAACTTGAAAATTAATCCGATAAGTCACGCGATTCAGCCAAGCGTATTCTTCATCAAAACAGTAATAATAAAAAAATGGAATGAAACTGGCGTGGAATGAAATTGTTTGAGATGAATTGTCATGGGTTGAATTTGTCTGATGAATTATCCTGAGGTGAATTACAGTAGACTCGATAACTGTCCTCCCGTTAACTGTCGCTATTCCGGGAATTTCTCAGTTTCAAGTGGTTTTCGCGGAACGGAAACATCCCCCACTCGCATGCCTCGGTTCCTTGCAGTTTTCCCTAAACTTCGCCCCTAATCGTGTCACGCGCTCAGTTGTTTCTATCTCCATAAACTAAACGAGAAGAACACGAATAAAATAAATGCCCTCTCCACATGCATATTACCACTAGTCCCATTAAATTTCGGGGAATCGGTGCGCGGAGTGGGGGCCGTTTTTAAGTGTTGCTTTCGTGGAACTGCGATCGATATTGGTCCCGACGAGCGACAGTTAACGGGAGTGTACTGTAACCGGATACTGGCCAAACGAGGGTTATGGGTCCTTTGGAACTTGATTTTTCCATCTCATGAGAAAACGGTTCTTATGATGTCTTTAAAGAAGTGAGTCAAGATAGATTGATGAATTGCGAATACGGTGAATTTTTTGTGAAAATTTTGCACTACATAGTTTCCGCGATATTCCACTTGAAAAAATGGAAATTTCGTGAAAACCTTTCTTATTTGATTCAAAAAATTAATCAACAAATGATTTTTTATTTCATTCAAATAGTTATTGTTGTCTGCGTCAACTTATGACAATGCTTACTGCTTAAGGGATATACCTTAAAAGAAAATATAAAATGTGAGAGTTGAATATAATTTGGAAGTTTAATGGTTTATCTTACTAGAATGGATATAGTATTTATCCCAAATACAATATGAAAAAATAAATCCGAGGATTAAATCAGGAGTGACTGAGATTTGACTGCGGCATTTTCCAGGTTATATATTAAAAAATTATTTAAGCTATTATCTGATCGATCCCAGAGATGAATTTTACTCTAAGGTTTATTTTCTTAACAAGGCTGCATATCTAATAATTACTTTCCTTTTCACTCCAAAAACTGTTCACTCTTTTCTTAATCATACGATCAATCTTTGAATAAAATATTCCATATCTGTTCATCTGATCGTCGAAGCCAGTAATATTGGATTTTTTATTACAAAATGAATTAGGGATTTAAACGACTATTCAGATGGAAAAGAATGTAGATATAAATTGAATTCTTGATAGCACCTATCCATACTCGTGATTTATTTTTTACACACGGAAAGAAATGTTCAGTAAAAATTACGGAACTCACAATTCACTCACCGATTACGGAATCGACTCAGAAAATTTAAGTGACGGTATCGTAATTTTTAACAGGAGATAAAAATCAGATAAAAATTACGGAACGATCTGGAAAAATTCCGTGACAGTTCCGTAAAATTTCCTACAATCACATTTCATTCCGGAATTACTGAGAAGGTACGTAATTTTTGTTGAATGTTTCTCTCCGTACAACGGATCATAAAAACTCATTCATCGATCCATTTCCTAATGAGATTGAACACTTTCCTGTTAAATGGATAATTCCGACATTCTTGTTCAATATCGTGATAATCCGCTATTCATGTGAGTAGCAAATTATCATGTGAACATGCGACTTATTCAAATGATGACGGTTTTAGAAATTCTGATTTTTTTCCTCAAATACCGAGGAATCCCCATGGGCGCTCAACAAACATAAAATAATGAGAAGCCGTGTAAAATTATCGATATGACGAAGTGTTCATGACGGTCGACTCAATAAATATTAGGGAATACGCATTTTCCGTGTCATAACTCAGCTAAATTATCTATTAGTCTTTGAAAATAACAGACGCCCTAACAAACTGCGAATATATAAAGAGGTGTGAGTGAAGTTCTCCTGCAGTGAACGCCAATGTGCTGTAGTGAAATCGTGAGCAAATTCTCAGCTTTTCCATCATGATTCTACTACCAATATTCTTTCTATCGAGTGTTTTTTGCTTGTTGTCAAATGTCAATGGCTATATCCATTTTGGAGTAGAACCAGATCTTGATAATGAGAATCCAGAAGGTACAATAGATGTTTTGTTCAACTTCAAATAAATTACAGGCGTGAATCATTAATTGAGTGATCCCCGCATTTTAAATGAATAGGAGAAGCGGTCCAAATCTTCCATTCTCATGGTCATCGACGCGCTCATTCGGGTTCTAGTTCAGAATCTAATTCAAAATCTAGTTCCAGTTCCAGTTCTGAATCCAGTTCTGGATCTGACTCAAGTTCCAGTTCCGGATCCTCTTCTTCTTCTACTTCCTCTGACTCAGATTCTTCCGTTGACGAAGACTTTGACGATTCAAATTTACTGACTGACGATGCAATATTGAAAGTGAGGTTTACGGCGTTCGGAGATGCTGTCCAAGTGAGCCTGAAACGCGTCAACAGCCAATTGGCTGGTTCAACTACACCTGTGTGGCTAGCCGAAGGATCGGCTGGTAGAAATATCACTTTTATACGAGCTCACGCAAATGTAAGTCAATCTTTCGTTACGATACTTCCCGAGAGCGAGAGTATTCTTGAAATGGAACGATGTGATTGCATTTACTGTTTATGCATTGACAACCTCTCCATTTTTTAGGCTCTTGGGACAGCACTCCGTTTATACCAAGATCGAGAAACGGGTTCATCAATCCTGCTGACACGCGACAATGATGGGGACACGCATTTCGTAAATATTAAATTTGAAAAAATTGAAATTGTATAAATAACATATATCAGGACAGAGAATTAATCGCCAACATTTTACAACGGTAGCTAGGAGTGGTAGCAGGATACAACATTCACCATCAACCATCCCATAGGCTGAAGAAACGTTCGATTGCACGACGATCACCAATTGACGGATATACAGCTTCAGATTACCACTATGTAACAAAATATTCTCGAAGAAAGAGGGCTGCTCTTAATGAGGTTCATTCAATAATAGAATCCCGGCGAAAACGAGAAACTGCCGCTCCTGACACCACGATTTATCCGGAAATCCTAGTAGCAACTGATTACGACCTTGGATTTACTTCGTAAGTAGGAATGCATCACATAATATAGTCGAACTGTTTTAATATACGATATCATCCACATTGTAGAACAACGAGTGAGGAGTTCTACGATCATCTGATCTACATCTTGGCGTTCTTCAATGGCGTTGACCTTTTATTCCAAGACATACGCAGTCCGGATGTTCGTCTTCATATTGCTGGTATCGTTGTCAATGCTGTAAGTATGGAGATTGATCAATTGACTGAAATCAGAAGACGAATAAAAAATATAATGGAACATGTGTACAGAACCGTGCTGCAGTACCATACATTCACAACAATATAGCAGTTGATGGTTCTATCAATGGCAGGAAAGCGGCCGAAGACGCTGGACCCTTTTATTATACAAACCTCAACTCCTCTGAATTTGCTGCTGGATCGTATGATATTGTTATGACTCTGACCAAGTACGTACTCCCTTTATAATAACCTTACAATACTTTCCAAATGTCGTATACCTATTTGGGTTTAGGAACCTCTTCGATTCACAATGAAAGAAAAATCGATTCATTAGAATTGTTACCCATTAATGGTGCATTTAACAAGTCAGCGAACATTTATTACAACATTAAATAAGTAGAAATTCGCGTCGGCGTTTGATTATTTATGATAAAGTGAAAGTAACTGGTGAAAAGAGTTCAGTGTTTTAATTGTCAAATACCTACTGTCATTATATGTAGAACATACAAAAGAGATGATTTAGAAAATCTTATTCTTCAAATTTAGCACTTACGTTTGTGATGAAGTCGAAAAGGACATTTGCACTCCGTTAATAACTGGTAAGTGTTTCAAATTTCAAATGATATTAATGAATGGTTATCTTAATTAACTGATATTATTTGCAGGTGTTTCAACTATTCATCCTGTCTGCGAGAATAATTATCCTGTTGTTAACATGTCAGCAATAATCGAAGATGATTTGGCATTTAGTGGAACACGAATTGCTGGTCATGAATTGGGACATATGTAAATTGAGTATTACTTTAAATATGGATGTAAATGTATAGTTTGCGAAATTTCAATAACTTCAATAATTTCAATAATTTCGATAACTTCGGCAATTGAAGAATGGGAGCCGGGCATGATAGCGATGAAGATGAAGGTGGTGGCGATTGTGATTTTCACGATGGCTACATAATGTCAAGATACAATGAGAATAGTACAGTGAGTCTCAAGTGGTCAGCTTGCAGTAAGGCAAGATTGAGGGAAGAACTGAGGTAAAGCATTCAAAAGATTTAAACATTGGATATAATGTGAATGAAGCAAGTATTTTAATGATAATACTCTTCCAGCAATGCTACTGCTGATTGCCTTCGCAATCTTCCTAACTGGAAAAAGGATGGAAAGAAACTGCCTCCAATATTACCTGTCAATATAAAAGGTGCCAATGCTCAATGTCGAAGTCTTGGATTCGTCAAATCTTGTCTGGTTAGTAAATTGCTTTCGGATATCAGTCAACTGAATTTGAGTGAACATATTCCTCAACACTATTATTAATGATGTAGGGTCCTAACATTTGCAATGCGCTGCAATGCACAGATGAGCCGTTCCTGTTCAGCACAAACTGCGAACCAGCAGGAGTGCCAGCTGTGCAAGGAGCTTACTGCGGTATTAATCACGTGAGTATAATATTTAATGTCGAATATTTTTATGCACATCGAAGGACGAAAATCAATTATGAAATCATGACTAATTTTGGCACTTGCGATTGAGTCTTCATTTGTTAAAAATGGTGACCGACGTAAGATAAGTTTCTAAAGCAAACTTCCATCTGGCGAACATTCCCTGGATTTAATATTAAATTATTGGGTTTCATGATTTAAAAATATAGTAGCCAATTATATGGAAGAAACGTTATTTATATTCCAGCACTGTATCAACGGCGATTGCGTTCAAGTAAACGTGTCCAACTGTGAGGACGAAGCATAAAATCTGGCTGTGCATAATCGAACTATGGGCATATAACTATCCTCATTTCACCTCGAACATTCATTGGAATTAAAATTGCTGCAGAAATCATATTTGTTTTTCGAATAATGAAGTAGACCTAATAAATATTCATGTAGCATGCATTTTTCGCAGTTGAAGTAATTATTAAATATAATTTCAATTCAATATATATGCCCTCGTTATATCAGTTATGGACATGAAAGCCGATCAGAAAATACAATTTTCGGTACAATATTCTATAAGGAATGACTCCAATAAGGAACATATTATTCAAATAAGTTTTTCGTCATTCAGGCCCATTAGGTAGCGCCTACTATAGCTGTCTTGAGGGAAGCTAAATGGCGTTTAACAGACCAGGTCTGTTAAGCGAAGCACAGGTATGGTTAACTCGAGTTAGCAGCCCTAGGACAATAAAAACATACAGTTTCTAGATGGGCAACCCACAAAACCTTGGTAGGAATACAACATGAAGTGTGCGGTTATCGCTGTCACTTGCTTCAAAACTCGGCGGATCGTTCACCACTAATACGATGCGCCACCGTCATTGCCGATGACATCAGGAGTTGTTATTCCGTTGCTAGGGAGTCAGTCGTAACTTGAGGGTTATATTGTCAAAATGTTACGAGTGCAGCTAATTTGTGAGATTTTTTTACTGATTTGTGAGATCACAAAATGGACAATTTTGTTCCTGATAGTGATGAGAGCGATACAGGAATCGTGTCTCCCGATCTTTTTGATGAAACACCCAATGTCCAAACCTCATCATCTAATGCATCAGCAAATGTGAGCTCTCTAAATTATCAAAATATCTCAGAAGATGGAGAAAACCAGGAGGACTTCGAAGATGAAGACTTTATCGTTCAGGATGTTCTCGACAACGCTAAAGAGGCTACGTCTACATTTATTCCTGAAAAATCCAGACCCGTTTACGATCGAGTCTATCGTAATTTTAAGAATTTTCTCCAGGAGAAAAAAATGAAAACAATTAACGAGACAGTGATGTTGGGATACTTTAACATGCTGAAAAGACCAAACGGTATTCCCCAGGATCAAACGAAGAAGCCTGGAATGACTCCAAAATNCGGCCCCTGGACCCCGCTTCTGCGCCCCCTCCCCTTCCCCTCCCCCTCACCTTCAACGGGCCTTCATGACAAAAAATAGTATGTGTCATACGGACCGTGACGTCGGTTTGCGATTCGTGTGAGTTAGCAGCACTCGGCAGTCGGTAAGACAGGACGAGGCGCGCCGAGTGCTGCTAACTTCACACTCATCGCAAACCTCCGTCTACGGTCCTAATGACACAATATACAATTTCGTGTCACATATGCAAAACAACGGAACTCGGTGTTATTCATTATTTTCCATTCATTTTCAGTTTCTGAAATTGTTATGTCAGATAAAATAATTCACAGAAAATACGTCTTTTCTTCTGTTCTCCAACCTCATAGTAATCGGCAATGCATTAATATATATATATTTATCCGAATCTAGAAGTACAGTAAAGGCTTCGTATAAGATACCTCAGGGACAGTAAGAACGTGGAATTCCGGGAACCCCTACACCCCCCCCCCTATGCCCCCACTACGCGCGCCCATAGAAAGGAGAAACATAGCGATCAGCGGGCTTCAAATAAGATACCTCGCTCGTTGCGCCCGAATTCAATGAAATTTTCATTTTTACTGACTGAATATCGATAACTAATCAATTTATATGTGTTTAATATTTTGAATTTATATCGCCCGCGTTCCCTTTTCTCTCTAAACAAAACCCCACGTGATAGAATGGCAGCTGATGTTGGGGGATTGTGGGTGGATTCGAGAATAATTACAGACGAAAAATTACGATTTTTCGATGGAGAAAGTGGAACAAAAATCGATGTATATTCTCATAATTCGAAAAATGTGATGCAACTCCTCCTTAAGGTGATTAGACCTTCAAGATCACTTCGTTCGTTCCTCCCATTTAACCCATAGCACCGTGTGATCCTTATAACTACTCTCTTCTCGTTGAAAAATGACCGGGGCCATAGGTATCTTATAAGAAACCCACGGAACATAAACATTCGGGAGGCGATAAAAGTGCCGAGAGTGGAGGTATGCCTCGAGTGCTCGGAGCGTAAGGTATCTCATAGAGAGGTATCTTATACGAAGCCTCTACTGTACTTCAAATTCTCCTGAAACAGGACTAAAAATTACTTTTCATGCATATTTTTCAAACATTCAATTTATTCGGGCACAATAGCCTCCATGAACATGCTCAATAATCTTCTCCCCCCACTCGACCCTTCCTCACCATAGTTCTTCACAGCGGGTTTCAGGTACATTAGCGGACTCGAATTCTGTCCTAACGCTTCTCACTCTATCTCTCCGTCAACTCAATGAATAATAACTTTAATGCAAAAAAATAGATGAGCACGACACAGAAAACGACTCAAATTTAGGCAAGCAAAGCTTTAAAGATAGAGGACATGAGTGGCGAAATTTTAGTGACCCTGAGTCAAAGTTCAGCTTAGGTGTCCTCATCTTAGATACATATCCAAAACTGGCCACCACATCGTGATTAGACTTTCGAATCGGTGTCCGATCATGATCTTAAAAGTGTACCTGGATCCAATGCGGATTAATCAATGCCCATTCAATCTAGATCAGACTGAATCTGCATCAAATCTAGTACCGAGAAGACAGATTGGATCCTGACATTTAGATCAGGTTTGGATAAGTTTTTCATTACTGATTCGAAACTGATCAATATCAGATATTTTTAACTCTAGTCTGGTCACCTGACGGGAAAATGCGACTTTAGTCACCTTCGCGGGAGAGTGCCGCCGTGTTATTTAGGCTCCAGCGTTGCCGAATCCACTCTACGCTTCCCGGGCGCATTTCGCGAGTTCCCAGCAACGTCGCGCAACAGGCAATTTCATTTAACACGGGAAAAAATTGTTCACCTGTTGGAAATGATTTTTTTTCTGCCAGAATTAAGGATACAATATTGAAAAAAAAATACTGGAATTTTCCAGATACTTCAATTGACGAATTCAATTTTTCTCAAATTTTTCCGGTCCACCAGTCGATGGCAAGGTGAATAAAACGACGTGTTGCGGCAATTCCCTCGCGTACTGACCAGGCTGGGGTTAATCTTCTGTTATTTCATCCTAATCTGAGTTTTCGAGAATGACTCGAGACATTATTAGGTCGTACCATTTTCCCAGACCGAGATTTGAACGCGACACCTCTCGCATATGAGCCGACCAACTTACACGCTGCACCAGTTACACGGAACACATCTGTGACGAAATTCCAAGCGCATTCATCACCTACTGTACTCCAGGGTATTTAAGTATAAAACAAGGAAGAGAGAGAGAGAAACACTGGTAGAATTTTTTTTGAAATTTAAGTAACAGATGCATTTGCCTTTCCAATATTCTCAACTTGAATTCAATTTCAGACTAAATTGCTCATGAAATTCCCGATTCATTTTGAAAATTCAATAAAATTGAGTTTTTCATTATGACTGATCATTGAATTTTTAATGACAATTTGGATTCTCAAACCGATCGCGAAAATTAAGGATCAGATTGAAAATTCAGAAGAAAAGTTGCCTGAAATTTCATGTTTTTCATTAATTTTCATTGTCGTATGAACCTGAGAAATCAAATTTTAGTGAATATTTAAAAACATTAAATGATTTGTCAATAACAAGACCAATGGAAATTTCATATGAATTATTCGTTGTTAAAATTTCAAGATTTTTTACTTGAAATTTCAAGAGTAATTTTCTAATAGTGAAGTAAAAATTCCTAAATCGTTATCTTTTCTTCGCAATAAACTTTTATACAGAAAATTAGAGCTACCTCCAACCTTAAGGAAACCTCCAAGCTACCTTAAATTACTGGAAAGTCCCTGAAATTTATTACCTGCCCCGTGAATCGATTCCCATTCTATGAAAATTTTTCCCATTCGAATCACCTCTATTCGAATATTCTTTTGTTTTTTTTTGCTTGACATTGAGAAATTCTTTCCGATAGTAAAGTCGAAGAAGACTGTCGTCTAAAAACCAATGAATTATCAGTAATAAAAAATTATTGTTGGAAAATATGTTAACTGCGCACACAGTTTCTTCCGCGTAGTAACTCAGATAAATCGTTGTATAGGGGACAAATGCTTGAATTGCGGAAATCTTGGGATAAAGAAAGAGTCAGCATAATATTTATCGTGTATAGAGAGGGTAAAACCCGAAAATGATTTAAAATGTATTTAAGAGTAGCACCAGTGAAGTTCAGCTCAGTCAGTGAAGAGTTGTTACAACTGAACTTTGTAGAAAACCTATACATTAACGACAATGATACCTTTCGAACTTTTCCTAATAGCAAGTTTTTTTTGCGTCTTACCGAATGCTAGTGGTTACGTTCACTATGGAATAAATTTGGATCCTGATGATTCAAACTTGTTTTCTCATGGCGATTATGACAGAGGTACTATCATTTTTTACAATTATAAAACCAAATTTGTAGAAACATTATATCATTCTTTCTCCAATAATATGAAGCAGAGGAGCAGGTGCAAGTTTTGCATTCATTCCGTCATCCTAGCCCAGGATCAGTCTCCAGTTCTCGTTCCAGAGCTAAATCTGAACATGATGATTCTTACTTGAGTCTGAAACTCCATGCTTTTGGTGAAGATATAGCCGTAGATTTGAAACGCGTAAGGGACGCCTTAGCTAACGCTTCGACGCCTGTTTGGCTTGCTCGCGGGTCAGACAAGGGCAACGTGACATTCACCAGAGCCGCAAAAAATGTAAGTTATATAGTATACAGTTGATATTCTTCGGAAAAATTATAAAAAAAGCGAATTGGGCCAAAAAAATCAATTTTTTTGAAAATCAATCCACATAAAAAATAAGTGAAAATTCACCAAAATAATAGGGGAGCATGGACCCGAAAGGACGTCCAACTTGTTAATTTCAAATTATTGAGGATTACAGGTAATGCATTCTGCCTCGCTTATATTAGAACTACCTAAAGTGAGGTCATACACGGAGAAAAATATTCAATAAAAATGACCTATCTTTTTCATAATTCCTGAGCGAAATGTAGTTGTAAGAAATTTTACGGAACTATCACAGAATTTTTCCGCAGCGTTCCGTAATTTTTATCTGAATCTCCTGTGAAAAAATACGATACCGTCACTTACATTTTCTGAGTCGATTCCGCAATCAGTGAATGAATTATGAGTTCCGTAATTTTTATCTGAATCTCCTGTGAAAAAATACGATACCGTCACTTACATTTTCTGAGTCGATTCCGCAATCAGTGAATGAATTATGAGTTCCGTAATTTTTATCTGAATCTCCTGTGAAAAAATACGATACCGTCACTTACATTTTCTGAGTCGATTCCGCAATCAGTGAATGAATTATGAGTTCCGTAATTTTTACTGAATATTTCTCTCCGTGTAGTGGATTCTCAATTAATATATCTCAACATGAGGGCGGAAATGTATATTTATGCCCCTAGGACCGATGAACTACGTTTCCACCGAACGAAGTGGTTTAGTCATTTTATTCGATGAGAAAGCGATTTTTGTTCCCTGGGAGAAAAAATATTGTACATCAGACAGCGATAAAAGTATTTTCTACACGGAGAGAAATGTTCAGTAAAAATTACGGAACTCACAGTTCGCTTAGCGATTACAAAATCGACTCAGAAAATTTAAGTGACGGTATCGTAATTTTTCACAGTAGATTCAGATAAAAATTACGGAACGCTCTGGAACAATTCCGTCACGGTTCCATAAAATTTCCTACAGCCATATTTCGCTCCGGAATTACGGAAAAGATACGTAATTTTTCTTGAATATTTCTCTCCGTGTAACGCATGTGATTATTAAGTTACATTCAACTGAAAATACTGGTATCGGCCTTGTAAGATAATCTGGTATTTCGTCGCAAGGCCGGAATAGTATTTTTTGTCATTAGGCTGACAGAGACTTTTCTATCGAATTTGAGTTTGCAGCGTGAGCCGAAGCTGAGGTCAGAAAATTTTGTTTCGGCCTAGTAACGAAGCAAATTTTTCTTTATATTATCTGTCAACGGAGTTTGATGGACACTAATTATTTTCAATAAGTGTGTGGTACGTAGCGCTTCGTGCTGTCCTCTCACGGCTCGAAGAACACTTTTGCCACTAATGTCGAATATTTTTTCTCTACAATTCGTGCAAAGTGGGGTTTTGCGCACATGGAGAGAAATGTTCAGGAAAAATTACGGAACTCGCAATTCGCTCGCCGATTAGGGAATCGACTCAGAAAATTTAAGTGAAAGTATCGTAATTTTCCACAGGAGAATCAGATAAAAATTACGGAATGCCCCGGGAAAATTCCGTGACAATTCCGTAGAATTTCCTACAACCATATTTCGCTCCGGAATTACGGAAATGATACGTAATTCCCGAACTTGCAAATTCACAGCACGTGATGAAAAACTTATCCAATAATCACGTTCAATTTCTTCCCGAATTTTTCGATGATTAATACAAATATAACGGAACATAACTTATGAAAATTCAACTTTGGAAATAACTTGGAGAAAATGGAATGATAACGTTTTATTATTCATAAATTTTTATCTGTCCTTGAGACTCTAGGAAAAGCCGTTGAATTATATCAAGATCGACCTACTGAGTCATCGGTCATAGTCATCGGATATGGCGACAGCAATCTTTATTTCGTAAATATCATAAACTACACATAAATCTTTTGATGATGAAATATGTATGAAATTTGAAAAATATTTCTTCCAATTCAGGTCGGAGTGATATCCGGACTTCGTATTCGATATCAACCGATGACTGGGAAGACTACGCGAAGAATCCGTCGACGATCAACAATCGATGGTTATACTGGTTCTAATGTTCATATCGTTTCAAAGATTTCCAGGCGAAAGAGGGAGGCTCAAATAGCTGCCGCTTCTACCATAAATTCCCAAATAAAACTAAATGCTACCTCCTCGAATACTTCAACTATTTATCCGGAATTATTCGTGGCAACTGATTATAATATTCCTTTTGAATCGTGAGTAGCAATACATTACAACATATCGAAAGCCCATAGATTACAGTTGAGACAATGGTCGGATTATGTTTAGTGAAATGATTTTATATTAACTGATTCCCTAATTAATTAATTGTGACCGGGGAGTTCAATTTAAAATTACTTATTATCATTACAATTGAAGTTGTCTTATACAATAATTCAACAAAAATATATAAATGTTTCACCATTCAGCTGAATTGACTGATATAATCTTTCAGAATTTTGCCAACACTAGACATTTTTAATTTATAAGAATGTGCTGAAATCTACATTAATCATCAATATTTTATTTTTCAACATTTGATGAACCGATTGGAATCAATGATCAGTCAATGGTTTGTCATTCATGTTACAAAATTGGTTTTGGGTTTCCCAAATTATTTTTTGGCTCGTCCCGCGCCGCCCCCCCCCGTGACTGAAATTTTAAAATGTGAGTGATGGCGGTTTTCATCAAAATGTAAAAAAAAATGTTTATCACGCGATGGAATGCACCACATTGGCGCCGTGAATAGTTACTAGCAGATGGTGCTGCCGAGCTGAACCCGAATTTTCAGTCTGCCGTAATCTGGTGTATTACGTCCTTATGGCAAAAATAGCTATTTCGGCCCTCGTACCAAAATCTACTAATTTCGATAAATGAGAAAAACTCATAAGTTATGAAAATCAGTACCGTATTTCCGGGAATCAGAAACTTTTTTTCCTTCGTGCAACTCGAAAGTGACAATGTTTATATATTTTTTCACGTGAAGTGAGTAGTCATATGATTCTGAGCAGCAGATGTAGACGGAAAACGGCGGAAATTCTCTCTCTTCTAATTCGACTCATAATGCCGGCTAACTGCGTTTTGGTATTAGATAAATTGAAATAGATTTAGAATTTAGAACCCAGGTCTCTCAGAATATCGGTTCATGAATATCTGAAAGTATTTCCTGCTAAATGTACTGAAATACATCAAATATCATAACTTCATTAATAGCGATTGTGCTCAGATGGATAATGAAGAGAGGGAAAGGATTAATGATTTGTATAATCAATTTTATAGAACATCGAGTGAAGACTTCTACAATCATTTGATATACATCTTGGCATTTTTCAATGGCGTTGATCTCATCTTTCAACAACTATCTGACCCGGACATTCGTCTGCACATTGCTGGTATTGTTGTCGGAGCTGTAAGTAGATACTGGAATCTAAACTCCCAATGATCCGAGAAAAAGTATAGTATATTTCTAACCTAGGGAGAGAAAATAAAGGATCCTCAGCCGCCAGTGCAATTACCAGCCGAGCCGAAGGTGAGGTTGGTAAGCACGCGGCTGAGGGTCCTTTATTTTACTTCCCGTGGTTAGAACGCGATTTTCCGTCTCGGCGTAGGCGCAAAGTCAGAGTCCCCTCCCGGGAAGCGGGAAAAAGAAAAAAAAATAAAAAAAAAAATTCTAAGAGAATTAGAATTTAGAGAGAAAAAATTTCCGTTTCACCCAGCCGGGAATCGAACCCGGGTCTCCCAGATACGCGCCGGGCACTCTTACCGACTAAGCTACCGGGAACCACAGAAATTCACTCTCAAATTCACCTCAAACACCGCCTAACCTCCTTTAGGCATTAAAGAATTCTAAGAGAATTAGAATTTAGAGAGAAAAAATTTCCGTTTCACCCAGCCGGGAATCGAACCCGGGTCTCCCAGATACGCGCCGGGCACTCTTACCGACTAAGCTACCGGGAACCACAGAAATTCACTCTCAAATTCACCTCAAACACCGCCTAACCTCCTTTAGGCATTAAAGAATTCTAAGAGAATTAGAATTTAGAGAGAAAAAATTTCCGCTTCACCCAGCCGGGAAATGACTGAGCCTCTCCCAGATACGCGCCGGGC